TTTTTAAACATAGATAAAAGACATCTTTATAAAGTAGATCTGATAGTTGGTTTGCTATTATTTGATAGTGAATGGTTAATACGTAAGAAACTGAAAAAAAAAAAAAAAGAAACTGAAAACGACTGAGCGATCAGTTCAGCAAGTATCCATCTTTCTTTTTATCCAAAGAGGAAACTGAAGTCCAGAAACAGTATTTTGTCTGCTACACATCATTCATAGCAAAACTGTGGCTCAGGAACTACTTGTATCAAATATGCTCCAGAGTGTAGATCCCATGCATGCCATTGTGAAGAGCCAAGTGGAGCAGGAGGAGGAGGAGGAGGATTTTTAGAACAAATCCAGAGACGAGTGTAGCTTTATATAATATGCGCTCGCAGTCTGATACCTTTGACTTTGCTTTATCTAATAAGTGCTCGCAGTCTGGTACCTTTGACTTTGACCTGGAAGCGGCTGCACTCGGGACAGGGGAGTAGCGTGAACTCCTCAGCTTGGTACATAGAATAGTCTGTGCTCGCTACCACAATCTGGTCTCCAGGTTTCCAGCTGCGAACATCATCCACCAAATGCAGGATCACTCCATCCACAACCTCCACCTGGAAGCCAGAAAAAGAAACACCTAGGCAAAAAACAGGAAAGAGAACGGTGCGTTAACAGAAATTGTTGTCTAACACCTGTACTGAGTCGCAAATCAAATGTTAAAAGAAATACAATTTAGCAGAATTGTACTAATGCCAGCCATGGATCAGTCATTCTGCTGATACTAATTATTAAAAGAATTAAAGCTATAGCTAGCTCCCTGTCCTCAGGAGAAGCAGCCCTGTTGGGGCATGGGCTACGTGTTAGGGCTGCTACCTACAAGGTCAGTGGTTCAAACCCTCTGATGGCTCTGTGGGAGAAAGAGGAACCATCTGCTCCCCTAAAGATTTATAGTCCTCAACAACTTTGGAACAATTCTACTCAGTTCGATATGGAACCTCTGGCCATAATGGGATATAAGCTATAAATAACTTCAGTGAATTATTCTTTTTTTTTTTTAGACTCATTTTATTGGGGGCTTGTACAATTCTTATCACAATGCATCCATCCATCCATCCATTGTGTCAGGCACATTTGTACTTTTTTTGACATCATCATTCTCACGACATTTGCTTTCTGCTTGAGCCCTTGGTATCAACTCTTCATTTTCCCCCTCCATCCCTGCCCCCCAGCTCATGAACCCTTGATAATTTATAAATTATTATTATTTTGTCATGTCTTACACTGTGGGATATCTCCCTTCACCCACTTTTCTGTTGTCCATCCCCCAGGGACGGGGTTATATGTAGATCCTTGTAATCAATCAGTATCTTAAGTCTCTTGAGAGATACCATGTATACTGGACTCTACTACTTTATCTGTGCTGGTCATGTGTGGAATTCAGAATTTTCCTGATGTGCTTCTATGCCTTTTAGGAACATGTGAAGGTCTAGTTTATTTATTTATTTTTGTGTGTGTGTACAGCGCATTTATACATCATTCCCAAAACATTTTCTCTCCACTTAAACCCCCGACATTAGGTCCTCATCAGTAAATTATTCTTTAATCACTTATTTTCTTTAATCATTTTTAAGAAGGCTTTTAGATTCCCAAATTTTGTGTTGTATTTCAATGCACTGCTAGAACTCTCATGGTGCACTCAGTTTCGATGCAACTTTATGACTGACGTAGAAGTTGACCAAGCACAAACAGATTTACAGTAAGTATCCGGTGCTCTATTTTGACCCAAGTGCAGAACAGGAAATAGGATGTTAACAGATTTTCTTAGTTTACAAGTAAGAGCTGACCTTTAGACAATCCTTTATTTCTGTGCCTTTATTCTAGCTTTATTCTTTACCAGAATATTTTTCCCATCTTTCTCACCAACCAAAATATGATCCCTTTTATAAGATTCAGACAAATACTCCTTCATCCCAAAAGACGTCTAAACATCTTTGATGGCAGCAATATATAGTTTTCTTTTTATTTTAATGACTCCATCTGATGTGAGTGTACATTGTTAGCACTCGAAGTCATGTCCATTTCAGTGTCCCCCCATTCTCCTCACCCAAAGCTTACAGAGGAGGCTGAGTCATGAACAAGCAGGGCCAGGACCCGTCTCCCAACCCTGCAGGCGGTAACGGAGATCACTTAGCAAAACCAGGGAACAAAAGGCCAGCATCTATGAGACATCCTTGACCCTCTGTACCAAATGCCAATGGGCACAGACAAGCGTGTGTGCCCAGCGGGCCAGGAACACAGCTGGCAACCACACCCATGCAGTCCTGAGGGTCTGTCCTGCCGGAGTCTGGCAAATGCCAGGGACAGAAGCAAGACAAGCACCCCGTCCTGAGGGCTCACAGAAGGTACCTAGAATGCTCTGGCCCCCATAAATTGTCCACACAGCCACGCTCCTGAATGACTGCATTGCTGCGTTTGAGTCATCTGGTTTTCTCAAGCCGATCGCTCCCCAAATGCTGTGTCCCAGGACTGTGCCAGCTTTTCCTGTTGCCTGGGTCTCCCCCCTTCCTGGGAAGAGAAGTATCTGCTTCCCATCAGCAATGTTTCTTACTCTCGTGTGTGTGTGTGTGTGTGTGTGTGTGTGTGTGTGTGTGTGTGTATGTTTTGGGGGGGGTGGGTAGCTGTAATATATTTCAGTTTCCAGGGTGTTCGGGTAGCTCACCTCCTGGGTCCCTATATTGGTGACAGCAGCAGCGTGTCCCTGATGGTGATCTGCTACTGTACCTGGTTCCTAAAACAGGTGCATGAGTATTTATTGAAAAACTGACCAACGGTCCCAAGTTTGATCTGGACTGTGCGCTGAGCCAGACCCGGTTGTGATCTTTTCCCACTCGGCTGCTTCCCGTGGACAGCACGACGCTGTGCCATCCGGGAACTGCGCATGACCGAACTCGCCTCATGCCTTCTTCTAAAACGCAAAGTGCCTCACAGTTTGGCAGACAAAAATCCAAACGCTGAGCCAGCTTCTCCACCACAGACACGTCTAAACTCAACCAGACAGAAGCCAACAACTGATTTCATGGAGAGAGAGAGATTCGATGAGAAGTCAGGGAAAATCACTAATGAAGAAAGAAAAACCACTGTACTCAGAGATGTCTACTGAATAAAGAGCTAATTATTCCTCGGTTTTCTTTAATCAATTGCCATACTACTTTGGGATTACTTTAAGATGTGGACTCAACAGAAACATCATGAAAAATCAAGTCTCCTCAAAAGGAGAGCAAATCAGGCCTGGCACAGGGATAACAGAGGAGGGTAAATCCAAAGTGTTACTACCAAAATAGTAGAATCCTTGATGGAGCAAATCTATCAAACACAAAGCTGTTTGTTGACATGCCCTTTACCTAGGTGTATACGTTTCTATCTAAAGGTGGTATTTCCATCTCACGAACACTTCCC